CACAGAACACTCTAATGGCAAGATATTGAGGTAGATTGATTCTCATGTTCCCGAGAAACTTCCCACCAATTTCCATGGTGAGAGTGCAAGTTTTTACTCCCATCACCAATGAGTGGGTGTTCCCCTTACTCTGCATCCTCACCAGCATGAGCTGTCACTTGTTTTATTGATCTTGGCCATTCTGACTGGTGTAAAATGAAATCTTGCAAACTTGCTCTCCCACCAGCAATGGAGGAGTGTTCCACTTGCTACTCATCCTTGACAGCATAAACCATCACTTGTGTTACCAATCTGGTGGAATGTCACAGTGTTTTTACTTGAATTTCCGTGATGACTAAGGATGTTGAACATTTCTTTAAATGTTTTTTTAGCCATTTGCATTTCCTGCATCAAGAATTCTTTGTTTAGAGCTGTACACCATTTCTTAATTGGGTGGGTTGTATCCTTTTTGAGTTCTTTATATATTTTGGATATTAGTCCTTTATTGGATGTGTAATTGGTAAAAAAAAAAAAAAAAAACCTTTACCCACTCTGTAGGCTGCTGCTTTGTATCCATTTCCTTGCATAAGATTTTCATGAGGACCATTTATTGGTTGTTGCTCTTAGTGCCTATGTTAAGTGTTCTGTTCAGAAAGTCGTTGCCTTTGCCGATGAATTCATTTATATCCTCCAATTTCTTTTCTTTCAATTTCAGTAAATCTGGTTTTATGTTAAGGTCTTTGATCAATTTGGAGTTGAATTTTGTGCATGGTGTTAAATATGAATCTATTTGGATGCAGTCATCCAGTTTGACTAGCACCATTTTTCTAGTGTATTTTTCTAGTGGATATTTTATCAAAAATTAGGAGCCCATCGGTATGTGGATTTATTACGAATTGTTTTTCCGCCAGCCTTGTCCCACAGCCACATCAGCCCCAAATAACACACAGGGACACTGTATTAGATATAAAGCTGTTGGTCTATTATTAGTATTTCCTATTGGCTAGCTCTGTCTTAAATATTAACCCATTTCTATCAATCTAAGTATTTCCATGTGGTCTTATCTTACCAGAGAGAGGATCCAGAGTGTTACCCTGTTGGTCCTACATCTTGAAACTCCTCCCATCTCCCCCTGAATTTTCCTTGTCTCCTAGCCCTGCCTATCTTGCTTTCCTATTGGCCAACAGGGCTTTATTAACCAATAAGAGAAACATATTTACAGAATGACATCTCCCATCATGGTTTTATGTCTGGGTCTTCAATTCAATTCCATTAATCAGCATGTACATTTTTGTGGCAATACCAGGCCCTTTTTGTGGAATATACCTTTACACTGTATTAATATATGTTGCTGTGATTGGTTCAATAAAGAAGTTGACTGGCCAGTAAATGAACAGAGTATGGTTAGGTCAGAGGGCCAAACTGAGAATGCTGGGGAGAAAGGTAGAGTCTGTGCAGTCTCCAGTGGAGACAGAGGGAAGCAAGATGGACATGCCATACTGAGAAACAGTACCAAGCCATATGGCAAACTGTAGATAAGAAATATGGGTTAATTTAAATGTAAGAGCTAATAACAAGCCTGAGCTATTGGCTGAGCATTTATAATTAATATTGAACCTCTGTGTGGTTGGTTACTTAGGAGTGGTTTGCGGGACAGAAACTTATGCCAACACTTTTTATTGCTATGTCTTTGTGTATAACTTGGCATTGGGAATGGTGATAATCATCTGAATATCTTTTATTATTCAGGATTGTTTTTGCTATCCTGAGTTTTTTTGTGTTTCTGGATGAAGGTGAAAGTTGCCTTTCAAGATCTGTGAAGAACTGTGTTGGAGTTTTGAGGGAGATTGCCTTGATTATGTAAACTGTTTTTGAAAGAATATCTATTTTTACTATGTGAATCCTACAGATACATGAACATGGGAGATCTGGAAAGATGGGGCAGCAATGTCAGTCTCCTATTTCTTTCAGTGTCTCAACATTTTTAATCATACATAAGTCTTTCACTTGCTTACTTAAAAATACCTCAAGATATTTTAAATTATTTGAGGCTGTAGTGAAAGTTGTTGTTTCTCTTGTTTCTTTTTCAGCCCAGTTTTCATTTGTGCACAGGAGGGTTACTGATTTCTCAGAGTTAATTTTGTAGCTACTTTGCTAAAAGGGTTTATCAGATGTTGGAGTTTGCCAGAAGAATTTTTGGGTTCCTTATATATATTCTCATATCATCTGCAAATAAAGATAATTTGACTTCCTTTCCAGTTTGTATCCCTTTGATCTCCATCAGTTGTTTTATTGCTCTAGGTAAAACTTCAAATACGATATTGAGTGGGTATGGAGAGAGTGGACAACCTTGTCTTGTTCTTGATTTTAGTGGGGTTGTTTTTTAGTTTCTCTCCATTCAAGTAGATGTTAGCTACAGCATTGCTCTAAACTTTCTTCTATTATATTATAATATGTCCCTAATCTCTAGACTTTTATCATGAAGGGGTGTTGAACTTTGTGAAAGGCCTTTTATGCATCTGATGAGATAATTGTGTGTTTTTTTTTCTTTAAGTTTATATGGTGGATTACATTTTTTCCATATATTAGATCATTCCTTCATCTTTGGAATTAAGCCTACTTGATCATGGTAGATAATCATTTTTATGTGCTCAAAGATTTGGTTTACAAGTACTTTATTGAGTATTTTTGCATCTATGTATGTAAAGGAAATTGTTCTGTAATTCTCTTTTTTTTTTTTTTTTTTTTTTTTTGTTGGATGTTTATGTGGTTTAGAGATCAGGGTAACTGTGGCCTCATAAAATGAAATCAGCAATGTCCCTTCTATTTCTGTTGTTTGGAATATGAGAACTATTGGCATTAACTCTTCTTTGAATGTCTATTAGAATTCTGTACTGGCTATCTATCCTTGTACTGCTTTATTATTATTTTTACCCCCTTGGGAGATTTTTAATAACTTCTCTTTCACTAGGGGTTATAGTCTATTTTAATTGTTTATATGGTCTTCATTTAACTTTGGTAAGTGGTACCTATAAAGATACTTACCCATTTATTTTAGTTTTCCACTTTGGTGGAGACAGGTTTTAAAGTATGTCCTTAAATTCTCTGGATTTCCTTGGTGTCTGTTGTTCTGTTCCACTTTTTGTTTCTGATTTTGTTAATTTGGAAACTCATTCTTTTAGTAAATTTAGATAAGTGTTTGTCTATCTTGATGATTAATTTAAACAAAACAACTCTTTGTTTCATTGAGTCTTTGTACTGTTTTCTTTGTTTCTATTTCATTGATTTAAGTAAGCCTAGTTTGATAATTTCTTCCTGTCTTCTCCTTTTGGATGTGATTTCTTTTTGTTCTAGAGCTTTCAGGTGTGGTATTAAGTTGCTAGTATGAGATCTCCCCAGTTTTTTTTGTTTTTTTTCTTTTTTATGTAGGCACTTAGTGCTGTGAACTTGCCTCTTAGAACCTCCTTCATTGTGTTCCATAAGTTTAGGTATGTTGTGTATTTATTTTCATTGAATTCTAGGAAATCCTTAGTTTCTATCTTGACCCATTTTTCGTTAGAGACTTGTTCAGTTTCTGTGAGTTTGTAAGCTTTCCATTCTTGTTTTGTTTTGTTTTTTCTGATGTCGTTGATAAACAGATTTAATCTGTGGTGGTCTGATAGTGTGCAGGGAGTTATTTCTACTTTCCTGTATTTGTTGAGACTTGTTTTGTGTCCTATTTTGTGCTCAATTTTGGAGAAAGTTCATGAGGTATAGAGAAAGTATATTCTCTTGTGTTTGGGGGGAAATATTCCATTAGGTCCATTTGGTTTATAATGTCTATAAGCTCCAGCATTTCTTTGTTTAGTTTTTGTCTAGATGACCTGTCTGTTGATGAAAGTAAGGTCTCATGTTGTCAGTGTGTGGTGGTCAATATGTAATTTAAATTGTAGTAGTGTCTCTTTTATGAACTTGGATGTTCTTGTGTTTGGTGCATAGTAGGTAGACTTTTACTAGGGCTGCCATAAGAAGTACCACAGACAGAGTGGCTTAGAATTACTCTCAGAATTCTAGAATCCTACAGTCTGAAATTACAGATGTTTCAGGGCACTGTGAAATCTGTAAGGGAGGAATCATTTCCTTTTGTCTTCTTGGTAGCAGTGTTTTTGTTCTTTCTTTTATGGATGAGCATTCATTTCCTCTACATATCAAAACTCGAGTAGCAGGCTTTGCCTATTGTGCTATCTTCCCAACCCCAGCTTTGCATTTGTTTGTTTATTTATTTAGGCATTATTTTGTTATGCAGCCTAGGCTTGCCTGGAATTCACAAATACACTGTAGCATTGACTTCTGGTAGACCCAACTCCCTCATTCTGGCAAGTACTTCAATAGAGGTTGGTACCAACATGCCTAGCTTAGCCTAGCTTTTAAATCCTGAACTCCATCAAGTAGAATTATATGTTCAGGAGATTCATTTTATTTAGAACCAAGTTATAAATCATTTTTTTTTAAGTCTGGTTTTTTGAGACCGGGTCTTCTTATGTTTTCTTGGCTGTTTTGTAACTTCCTATGTAGACCATATTGGCACCATTCTCACACATACCTGCCTACCTACCTGCCTCTGATTCCTGAGTGCTGGATTAAAGTCATGTACCACCATGCCTGGTTAAGTCTTATTTCTTATAGAAAGTTAAAGAGGTGCTATTCCTTATTCCCTTTAAGTATAAGTATGGACATTTACCAAGAAATCCAGTGTGAAATCACTGAAAGTTTAGAATCTCTGTATTTTGTTCAACTATATAAATGTAGAGGGTAGAGGTGATTAGGTGGTGGTCATCCTTTGAAGTATACTGTGTCCTTCAAGGTTATGGTACTAAGCCACTGAGGGATCAGCCAGTCCTTCGTTTTGCTCACAGGGGAGGTAAATGCCCATCCAAAGGATTGGATAGGCAGAGCAGCAATCAACACTTAACCAACCTACAGTACAGAATGTGTGAACAGGCCAACTACAACTTTGTACTATATTTTTTTTCTTCTTCCAGAATCTTCCCCAGGTGTGACAGAAGTGAGCATAATAGAAAAGCTGCCTGCTGAACGTCATATGATTTCTTCATGGGAACAAGTAAGTGTGTCTGTGTTGACTCTTTATCTCCCAACAAAGAAAGGTCATTTAAATGCCCCTGGGAAGGAATGATTAGAGCAAGAAACTTATTCTTCTGTCAGGCTACAGCTGCCTTTTATTCCATTCCAATTTCTCAGCGAAGCGTCTTGTCTGACCCTTGTAATTCTGTGAAAGCAGTAGATGTTTAGGTTGTATACATATACAACAAAACTACAAGTCCAGCTGTGAAAGTAAAAGATGCCTATTAGTATGCATCAGGCTAGAGAGAAAATGGTTAAGAGTTGCAGAAAAAAAATGCTAACTGGATCCCGTGATTGGTGCGTCCCAGTTTTCCTCAGTTAATCAAACTTAAATGCTTTTCATTAACAGGACTTTTCATGGTCTGTATGTAATGAAAGAATCTGCCTCTGAATTTTCAAACATCCCAGGGCCAGGAGAGCTACATTATTATTGAGCATCTTGGTGACATTGCATAGCTACAGCATCCCTGACTGTGCTTGGATTGGACTCTCCAGTACAGTCTGCTGATGATGAAACAATGGCTCACAGAGACCCCACAATTTGGCAAATGACCCTTTTCTTTTTAGCCTTACTTAGATTATGGTCATAGAGTCTAGGTTTCCTTGCTGATAAGTCCTTCACATACTCCTGCTGTGGCTATATTATAAGCATTTACCACATAACAAGTAACAATCCCCTTCAGCCCCTCAAGCTCTTACTCTTCAGGTGCTTCATTTTTCCTCTCTGCAGTAGATCGGCAGCTTCCTTCTTTAACATCTAAATAAAACAAAGCGAAAACTTCAGTATGTTTTCCTTCTAACTGTTTAATCATCTGTCTTTTGCGTGCACAGTATGTAGAAAACATGTCCAAGTAAGGGTTCAGGAAGTATTTTTTGTTAAAGGAACAAATAATAGTTTAGGCTCTGGCATCTCAGTCTGTCACAGCAACTCATTTTTACTATGGGAATATTGAAAGCAGCTATCAACATACAAGTGCATGACTGAGTAAATAATTTTTATATAAAAAAAGAAGTGACATGACAGGTGCAGAGGGGCTGTGTGCTATATTTACCAAGCCCTGATCTAAATTATTGTACCATTGTTTGCCTCTCAGTTATTCTCTAGCTATCTACAGCCTCTCTTCCTCTACTGCCATTCCTTGGCATTACTCTGAACATTGTTAGTATCAGGGTTATGTTGTCTTTGTAAATGAATTTGGAAGGGTTTCCTCTTTTCAGTACATTTGGAATAGTTTGAGTAGAAATTGTAGCTGGATATTAGTGGTTCACACCTTTAATCCCAGCACTCAGGAGGTGGAGGCAGGCAAAATCTCTATGAGTTCAAGGCCAGCCTGACCTACAGAGTGATTTCAAAGACAGCCAGGATTGTTACACAAAGAAACCCTGTCTTGAAAACTGAAAATAAATAAATAAATAAATAAATAAATAAATAGGTAAGTAAATAAATAAATAATAGTCTTCCTTACGTATATGGTAAGGTGTAGGCAAGAATTTTCTGTTCTGCCTTTGCTCCATCATTTAGCCCCAAATGAACACTCAGAGGAGTCTATTAATTATAACCTGTTGGCCGATGACTCAGGCTTCTTACTAGCTAGCTCTCTCTTAATTATTAACCCATAGCCACTAATCTATGTATTTCTACATTACCAAAGAAAGCCCAGCATGTCCAATCTTCCCAGTATCTACAGGGTACATGGGACATCCTTTCCCCAGCCTTTTCCTCATCTGGTAGCCCTGCCTATACTTCCTGCCTGACTACTGGCCAATCTGTGTTTTATTCATCAACCAATAAGAACATATATACAGAAGGGCATCCCTCATCAGCAAGGTCTCCAATAAAGCCATACATTCCTGGGTTTTCCTTGTTGGAAGACTAGTACTGCCCTATTCTCACTCATTATTGCTCTATTCAGGCTTTCTGAGTCCTCCTGTTCTAAATTTTTATTTGGTTATAAATTTCCTCTACTAATTATGGTTTATTCTTACTTTTCTCATTCCTTTGTTGTATTATTAGGATATGTATTTCAACTCTTTTCTGTATGTGTGTATAGGCATTCTTAGTACTGTTCACTCTTAATATTGTTTTTGCCATTCCTGGTAGGTTTTGTTACTAATATATTTTAATTTATATATTACCCTTTGTGGCGATTTGAAAAAAAAAATGCCATCCAAAGGTAGTGGAGCTATTAGGAGGTGTGGCCTTGATGGAGTAGGTGTGGCCTTGATGGAGTAGGTGTGGCCTTGTTGGAGGTAGTATGTCACTGTGTTGGTGGCTTTGAGGTTTCATATATGCTCAAGTACTACATCTGCCATGTTCCCCATCACAAGGATAATGGACTAAACCTATGAACTGTAAGGGAGCCACCACAATTAAATGTTTCTCTTTATAAGAGTTGCAGTGGCCATGGTGTCTCTTCACAGCAAGAGAACCCTAACTAAGACACTCTTGTTTTAAGAAATGTTTACATTTCTCTTTGATTTCTGTATTGATTTAGCTTTTTTTTGAAAAGAATGTTGTTTAACTGATATATTTTTATTTTCTCAAGACCTTCTTACTAATTTCCAGTTTTACTCCATTGTGGTCAGAATTTTCTTTGAATTTCATGAGACTTGTTTTATAGCTTTATAATTTCCTTATAGAGTGTTCTGTGTTCTAATAAGAAGAGTGTTATTCTGCAGTTTTTGGTTGAAGTGAACTATAAATGTATGTTATGTACATAAGGTCTAGAGCATAGTTTAATTCTGTTTTTATTTTTATGAATGATTTTTCCACTGATAAAAGTTATCTGTGGATAAAAGTTATCAATGCCAGACTTTTATTAAAACTGAGTCTGTACCTCTGTTAGAATAAATATTTTTATTAAATATTTGGGTATATGTATTGTGTCTCCAGATTCTGTTTCTCTACCAATAGATGGCACCAGCACTCAAAATCTGCCAGTAGGTCCTGGCCTCTTAGAGCTACAGAAGTAAACATCTTTTTTTTTTTTTTTTTAATTGAAATTTTTTTTACACACAATATATTGTGTTCATGTTTTTCCCCCTCCCCAAGTTCTCACAGATTCTCCTTACCTATCTACCCACCAAACTTTACATTCTTTTCTTTTTCCTTTTAATGTCTCTTTCAAAAAACAAGAAGCAAGAAACCCTACAAAAATGAAAATCAAAACAAGCAAAAGACTAAGACAAAAAATGCCAAGACAAAATGTAATGCAACAAAAAGTCTACAAAAATACTATTGATTTTGTGTGTGTGTGTGTGTGTGTGTGTGTGTGTGTGTGTGTGTGTGTGTGTGTTGGCTAACTACTCCTGTGCACAGGGCCTACCCTAAAGTGTGATTGGTTTACCTAGTGAGACTCCACTGGAGAACACTGATTTTCCCGTTGTCAGCCAGTATCAATGGCAGATGGCTCCTTGGTCAGGGATGAGACCCTATGTCTACTTTCCCCTCTCAGTTCTGGGACACTATCTGACTTGAACCTGAACAGGTCTAATGTGTGCTCCCACAGTCTCTGTGAGTTCATATGTTCTTCAGTCCCATTGTATCTTGAAGACACTATTTCCCTGGAGTCATCTCTCACCTTTGGTTCATACAATCTTTTTACCGCCTATTCTTCATAGGTCCCTGAGCCTTGGCAAGGGGTTGCAAAGTCGCTCATCTCTCACTCTCTGCACATTGTTCAGTTGAGATTTCTGTTAATCCCCATCTGCTGCAAGAGAAAGCTTCTCTGATGTTTGAGCAAGGCACTGATCTATGGGTATACTTGTATGTCCTTTAGCAGAACAAGCAGTGGGTATTGTTTCCAGCCCATATCCTGTCTATTCTTGGGTTCTTGATCATTTTAGCAGCATCAAATCAAAAAGTGAATGGTTCCTTTCATAACATTTATTCCACTACTATACCAGTATATCTTGGAGAGACAAGTTTGTGTGATATTAATGATAACCTTTTTGTTACATAGCTTTTTTTTTACTGACTCTCTCAAAAATTAGAATATTAACAACACCTAACTTCAGGTGTCCATTGAAAGTCCCAAAAATGAGCAGAAGACATTAAAATCAAGCCCTGCTCAAGATACTTTACTAAGTAGGAAATAAAGTCTGAGAATCTTTTAAGTGTGATTGGGAAGTATTTGGTTAAAAAATAAACACACATGCATACATGCGCACACAGCAAACAAGAAACAGAAAGGAAATTTAATTCACTAAAATGAAAACTGCTGTCCATTTCAAAACCTAGAAAAGCTGTTTAAAATTACTTCTCAGTCCTCTTCCTATCAAGTTGCCTCCCCCAGCCCTAGTGTTCTGTGGATTTCACACTAAAGTTTATTCTTGAACCTAAATTAGCAGTTTAAGGGACAGTGCCCAAGGTCACATGACTAATGACAAAGCTGAAAACTGAACCCAGATTGTCCTGCTGCGGAACACCACCACATTTAGTATTTAAAACTGACAATATGACCCAAAGTAAAGGACTCCACAGTGGTCTATATCACTTCTTCCAAGGATCCACTAAGCCAAAAGCTTGGATAGTTGCTACTGTCTTGTCTTTTTGCCTCTGTAGCCATGTCAAGTTACTGGAAAAGGTTCCAGAAAGGTCTGAAGAACTTACCTCTCTCTGAATTTCAGGGATTTGAGTTGAATAGAGAAGACTAGTCAAGGCTTGCTCCTATTACTGCCAGAAAAAAAAAAAAAAAAAAAAAAAAAACACTAAGCTGTTCCTTTGTTCGACACACCACAAGTTTGGGTTACTTTTTTTATCCACATGAAATACTTTCGTTACAATCTTTTTGTAATTACCACAACTATTAAAATAGATGCATGGTATGGAAATAAATGCTATGGAAGTAGCATATGTGACACACTTTTAAGGTGTTTTCCTGTCTAATAATTTGTTTTAGAATACATGCTCATGAATATAAAGTTTATGGCGGTCTGCTCTGATGGTGTCACACTTTACTTGGAATATCTCCTTGCTACATTCCATTGTCCCCTCTTAGCTTTTACTCCCTTCAAGCTCCATCTCCAGCTCACATGTCAAGGCAGAACAGAGACTTAATCTACTTTATCTGAACACACACACACAAACATACTGGTAATTGCTTGCTGGGCCCAGTACCTGTCTAGGACTTTTATAGGTAATATCAATCTTCCTACTTGGGGGATCAAGAAGATGGTTAACATTGTAGGCAAAGCTCTGAAACATTGCCTTAATCTGCTCTCCAAGCACTTGACCTAACACAGAGAAATCTCTGGTTCTAGAAAAACAATTGTGTGATGCCTGAAGATGTGAGAAACTTCTATTTGATGACCAATGGTTTTCATATGACATGGAGTGTGAAGCTAGATGGTAAGTCATCCTCCTTGATGTTGGAGAACATTTTCTTGGTGAAGAGGTTAGATGAGGCAACTCTGAAGATCCTTAGAATTGTAGTATCTAAAAGAAAGAAAGACCGTAGTTTGGCTAATACAAGGGAATAGAGTGAAATATGTTTTAAGTCATTTAGTCTTCAAACAGTTTAAAATATTTTCTTCAATGGCACCATAATAAAGATAGTTGGGAACTGCTCATCATCTTTGGCACTCAGCTCCTCTGTTTTTTGCATATATATTGAAGTGTTCCTCCTATGTACTTTCTATCATGTTCCTCAGCCATGGAGCCAATATCAGAGGCTGATTGGGTTATTTGAATGAAAAAAAAATTTATGGTCACCATTGTCTAGGCTACCACTTGTCATTCTTTTTGTTCCCGTAGAGCACATCATTCCATTGGGAAGCATGGTGATTAACGGTATTTCAAAATTGACTCAGCTCACCCAGTCTTCTATGTACTCACTTCCTAATGCACCAACTCTGGCGGACCTAGAGGATGATGACGAAGGTACCTGGTAGAACTCTTGCTTTGGGTTAGAAATTAGCCTTCTTGTCTCAATTTTAGAATACTGAGAGCTATAGCAATGTACTATAGAATTACACTATGTTCCACTAAACTACACCTCTTTTCATCCGTAGCTTCTGGAAATAAGATAGAAGCAGAAGAAAACAAATATCAACAGAGGAAAATTTCATGAGAGAAATTCCAGGACCATGTCTTTTATTTTGTTTCTTGTACCATTTTAGTGCCAGACATGTGTGTGGAGACACTTAATGAGTAGTAACTGAGGGAATCAGTGTTATTGATTAAACAGAACTCAACAATTCAAGGCCAGCCATGGTAGCTCAGGCTTATAATTTCAGTACTTGGAAGGCTGTAGCAGGAGAATCATGCATTTGAATTCAACCAACTATATACTGTGACTGTTTCTAAAACAAATTCAAGAAGTATGGAAGCCTAAATACAACTACTTCTCTCTCCATTCCCACCTCTAATCACTTTACCACTTCAGAATGAAGTGGCTTACAGATCAAATAGCTAGAAGAGACTAAGAGCAGTGGTGTGTATATAAACAGTTCTTTAGTCAGAGCTGTGGTTAACTGCTATGGCAGAATCAATTACACCATCTTCTGAAGTAGCAGTTTATTTTTCCATAAAAAATTGAGAATGGAGTGCTGTGAGAGGTTGAGAAAGGCAGTCCCACAGGCTTCCTACTGCACCAGCCTTTTGGGATATTGTGTTTTGTTTTGTTTTTCTTCATGGTTGAGATATATATATAGGTTCTACCTACAGGCTTCAAGTCTCTGCTCCTGGGGAAAGAAGAAAAGACAAGGTAGGGGAAAGGTTCTTGGCAACACCTAACATTTTTTCCTTCTTCTCAGAAATACAATGTTCTTAAAAGCCATTGACCAGGGCAGTATTAAAACAGAGGAGTCTTGCAGGCTATTTCGATTTGTACAGAATTATTTCTTCCAATGGAATTTGGAATTAATTAAGGAAGGAAAAATAAACAACTGGTTTCTAAGTCTTAAAGTTTTACCGAAGTCCTTATAAAGGCAATAATGTAAGGCTTTGCTGATAACTAGTTGATCAAGGAAGAATAGTACCAGAGGAGTCAAGAGACAGACTGGTTAAATCATGGGTACAGGAAAAAACGAGCTATGGGCTCCCCAAAAGTGGGGGGATTAGTTACATTGGCTTAATACATGTATGGCAAGTCTTCTCTAAAAGGCAAAGAAGTACTTAAACAGGCAGGCAAGGTTGTTGCTGCCCTTGAGGTTAGAAGACATGAAACACACTAGAGAAGATATTCTGGCAGAAGAGCTGAATGAGGAGTAGAGACCACAGTGTCTACATCCATGTAGGTATAAAAACCACTGAGCCTTCTGGTTTCTGCTGGCTCTATACATTTTACAGTAGTATAACAACTAGACTTCAGTCTCATTGTAGGCCCTAAGAAGTAAGTCTTTGGGCTAGGGAGATGGCTCAGCAGTTAAGAGGACTTTTTCTTCTGTATGCTTCCCAGTACCCACAGGCTAGCTCACAACCAACTTCAACTGCAGTTCTCGGGAATCTAATGTCTTCTCCTGAACTCTGCAGACACCAGGGCATGTGCATGGTACACAGACATACATTCAAGGAAAAAACTAATAAACATAAACTAAATAAAGTCTGAATTCTTTTTGATCTTTAGAAGAAAATGTATTTACAGATTGAAAGGATTCATCCAAACTGGGGGGGGGGGGGTGTTCAGGGGGACAGACATCTGTACTCCCTGACTAGTGGGGAGAGGATGACAAGCTTTTAGGAAAAATAGCAAGTACTTGTGGAGGAATAATAATCTTATTAACACAAGTTTCTTGTGTGTGGTAGTGGAAATTAGAAAATAGAAAGAAACATTCAGTGGTTACTGGGGGGAGGGGAGTCCTGTATATGCAAAGTAAATGTACCTTGGGTTATAACAGGAAAGTCATAATTTCTAGGACTGTGGTGTATAACTTTTGAATAGAATATAAGGAATATTTTTTAAATGTTTACCCTGTTTTAGTTAAACTTAAAAGTGTAAATAGAGGCTAGGTTAAAGTTTTGTGGGTTAATTTATAGCCCATTCCCTGAAAAAGTATCTGCAATCCATAACTCCCTGTACTTCAGTGTGATCTCTTCCCCAAACTACAGTTTGAATTTGTTAAGATGAGATCATACTGGAACAGGGCAAGCCCTATAAAAAGAAGAAATTTGGAGACAGGCACACATGGGAAGAATGCCATTTGAAGATAAAGGCAAAGTTGGGGGTGATTTTTCTTTGAGCCAAGAGCATGTGTGCACACACACACTTTCTAGCAAGAAACCAAAAGCTAGAAGAGCAGTCTGGAACAGATTCTTCCCCACAGCCCTCAGAAGGAGTGACCTCTGGGCACTTGAATTTCAAACTTGTGCCCTTCAAGTCTATGAGGCAAAACATTCCATTTAGGCCACTGAGTTTATGGTACTTTAAAACTGAAGCCCTTACACACACAAACTAACACAATGGTTTCAGTGCTTCTCATATAGAAAAATGGAGACAATGCTGGAAAAGCAAAAGGTTTCCTTTATTGTGGGAATGAGGTCTTACACCTTATTGGGAGAAACAGTGCCATGATGTATCTGTTTTATATGCCTAAGAGATTACCACACATTTAATGAATTGTAACTATGCAAATCCATGTTGGTTTTGTTTATTAACAATTTCCATGAGGAAGTCACCTACAGAGTAGCTGAGTCCTCTGAGTCCTTAGCCCTGGCGCTTTTTGATTAAAGTAGTCATATGGTTCTAATTATGTGAGGGAAAAAAATAGAAGCTAACTATTTGTCCATCTAAATAACAATGGAGAGAGTGACTCTTGAAAAAAGTTATCTGGGAATGAATAGAATTCCAGTCTGGCTTGTGGTTATGACAGAGCCACAGGTATGCCCAGAAAAGTTTTGGAAAGGAGGGGCTTATAAAGACAAAATTCACATAGGCTGCCTTGAAACAGGCTGAAGGCCATTGCAGAGTTGATGTTAATCCTTTGATGGAGACAGTCATTGAAATTGTCTATTGAATTTCTGCAGTCTAAATTTATGAGAAAATTTAATACAGAAAACGTAATGTGTATAAAATGAATACAGTATGCAAATTAGGAAGCCTTTGTGATAGTTTTTTACCTCAGACACAAGCAAGAGCTGTTCACTCCTTCGTGACCTAACAACTCTAAATTGGAGTGGACAGAGACTTCAGCAATGTTGACACAGTAAAGGAATAAAAATCTACATTGACACCTCCAGTCTAAAAGGGGGACTGTGAGGAGAAATAAGAGGAAAAGGAAGAAAATATAACATGAGAAATGTAATGAAATAGATCAATGATTATAGTAAGTGATACTGAATTGAATCTGTCTTTTGAAGAAAATACTATTAGATGGAAATAAAAAGCAAAACTTACCTGCATCCTGCTTTTTAGGATACTTAAACTGATGAAGATACTTCCTCTTAAGGTAATGGCAAATAGGTGATTGAGAGTAGCCTCCCTGTTGAAGACTGCAAAGTGGAGCAAGATTTAAAAATCATCTTCCTAGAAACATAATAAGAGCTACCAATGTGATGAGGTAAAACATCACAGCAACATTCAGAAGAAGCTAGAGAATCCAGGGGACACTTAATGTGAAGGGTGGCTTTTGCCCAGAGAATCCAGGGGACACTTAACGTAAAGAATGGCTTTTGCCCAGGGTGCACTGTCCTTATTCTCAGGAGGCAGCGTGCAACTGAAAAACTGACCATGTGGCCCATTATTCAGCCAAAGGATAAAATAGATTACAGGGCCTATGAAAGATGGCTCTCATAAAACCCACCCTCATATTTGGGTTGGTGCTGCAAAATGCTGTACCCAAGAGAGACACATGAACTGGAAGAAACATCTCTTCACATGGATTGAAGCTCAAGTGTGAGTCATCTATAGACTGAAGCAACCAGGGTTCACAGAAAATATTAAACCCCAAAATTATACTAAATTGCTCTTAGATTTTTTTCACTGAAAGTCATATTTTATTTAAAAACACTATTTTGCAATATATTTGTTATTTCTAAAAAAATCATTTAATTTTACAGTAGAAGTTAACATTTTTATTGTGATATAGAGTCGTCTCTCTGATCAAGTATTACATAAACATGGTAAATGAGAGATGTGATTGTCAGCAAATGGGATTGACAAGATGCTGGAGGGCAACCTTTCTCTAGTTATTTCCTCTTTGTATGTGTTAATTTTTCTTTTATTAAAAATGCATTCTTCTCGGGTTGGAGAGATGGCTCAGTGGTTAAAAACACATACTTCTCTTATACAATACATCCCAACTACAGTTTTCCCTCCCCCAACCTCCCTTCTCCTCAGATCTACTAACCTTCCATTTCCTCTTCAGAAAAGAGCAGGTCTCCAAGAGATGACAGTGAGACAGGACAAGGTGAAAGCCCTCCTATGGAAGCTGGACAAGGCAACCCAACAGGAGTCTCACAAGAACAGCAAGCTAGCAATCATAACCTACACTCAGGGAACTTGGTGCAGACCCATGCTTGCCATTTCAGTTTCTGTGAGCCCTGCTTATTGATTCAGTGGGCCATGTTCTCCTGGTGTCCTCCATTCCCTCTGAATGCTATAGTCTTTTCTCCTCCTGCCCTTCTGCAGGGTTCCCCATCTCCAAAGGGACAAACCTGGCAGAAGACTCCAATTTAGACATACATACTGTCTCTCTGTCTCTCACATGCACACATGCATGCACACACACATCTCACTCTCCACCCCCCTCCCCCATATCTGGCTGTGGGTCTCTGCACATGTTCCCATCTGCTGCTGGAGGAAGCCTCTCTGATGACAAGTGGACCTTAGTCTCTGAGCTATCCAGTCTCTGGTACCTAGCTATCCAGGGAGTATAGGGAATGTTTTCCCTCTAGTGGGGTGGGCCTCAAATTAAACCAAACAGTGGTAGGACACTCCAACGTGTTCGGTGTCACAATTGCCCCAGCACATCTTATAGAGAGGACGATTGTAGATGGAGGGTTTTGTGGCTGGCTCGGTGTCCAGTTTCTCACACCAAAGAGACTAGAATGTAAGATATGGGCTTGGAGCTCAACCCCTCTATGTTCAGTAAGTTGAATGGAAGTATCCCTGGCAATGCCCCCCCACACACACACATTGTTAATTTTTATAGTGTGACCTCTGTCAGCATCAGCTTGGGTTGTGTAGAGATCTCCATAGGACCTCCTCAGCCAACAACTCAACTGAATGAAAGCCTTGCCATTACTAGGAGTCTTCACTAGGGTCAACCTCATAGATTCCAGGAAGTTTTTACTGTACTAGTTATCTCCACCATCCCCAAAATGTTCCCCCAATTCCAGCTACCTCTCCCCACACTCTCTCCCTCCATCCCCCCAACACATACACACACCACACACACACACCCCTACAGCTACCTGATCCCTCATGCTCTTGTCTCCAGTTCACCCTCAGAATATATTCTATTTTTCCCTTCCCTGGGAGAGCCATGCTTTTCCCTATAGTTCTCCTCTTTACGTAACCTCTCTGGGTCTGTAGATTATAGCTTGAATATCATTTACTTAACAGTTAATATCCATTTATAAGTAAATACATACCATATTTGTCTTTCTGAGTCTGGATTACCTTACTTGGGATGATCTTTTCTAATTACATCCATTTGTCTGCAAGTTCCATGGTGTCATATTTTTTAACAGCTGAGTAATACTCCATTGTGTAAATGTACCACAATCTCTTTATCTATTTTTCCATTGAGGGAAGTCCAGGTTGTTTCCAGTTTCTGGCTATTATGAATAAAACTGTAATGAACATAGTTGAGCAAGTTTCCTTGTGGTAGGACAGAACATCTTTTGTGTATATACCCAGGAGTGGTATAACTGGAACTTGATGTAGGTTGATTCCCAGTTTTCTGAGGATCCTTCACATTGATTTCTATAGTGACTGTACAAGCTTATGCTCCGTCCAGCAATGGTCCACATCCTTTCCACCATAAGCTGTCACTTGTGTTATTGATCTTATCCATTCTGACAGGTGTAAGATGGAATCTCAAAGTAGTTTTCATTTGCATTTCCATGGTGGCTAAGGATGTTGACCATTTTAAATATTTCTCAAACATTTTGGATTCCTCTATTGAAAATTCTGTTTAAACCTGTACCCCATTTTTATTTGCATTATTTGGTTTTTTAATATCTAGTTTCTTGAGTTTTTTGTGTTTTGGATATTAGACCTCTATCAGATGTAGAAGATGTAAAAATCTTTTTTAATTCCATAGCCTGCCTCTTTGTCCAATTAATGGTGTCCTTTGCCTTACAGAAGCTTTTCAATTTCACAAGATCCTATTTATTGTTTATCTTAGTGCCCAGGCTATCTGTGTTCTGAAAGTTGTCTCCTAGACCAGTGTGTTCAAGGATGTTCACCCACATTCTTTTCTATAAGGTTCAGTGTATCTGGTTTTATGCTGAGGTCTTTGATCCACTTGAAATTGAATTTTGTACAGGGTGATAAACATGGATCTATTTGCATTCATCTATATACCAACATCCAGTTTGACCAGTACCATTTTTTGAAGAAGCTTTTTGGTGCTGGCATGGACCTAGAAACTTGGAAGAGTTGTGGCAATAAGCATGGCTCCCACCAGTACTCCACCATGAAGCTACTCTCAGAAAGCCAAGGAATAGGGTAGGGCCACGCTGTTTAGCAGATAAAAGGCTCATGTGGCTGGAAAAAGATGAAGATATACTATACAGTAAAAACAGATTGGGGGGGGGAGACCAAACAACAACCAAAAAAAAAAAAAAAAAAAAAAAAAAAAAAACCCTCTAAACATTTATATAGGCTTGGGAGAGAAAAGAAAAAGGATAGAGAAAGTCCTTAAAAAAGAAATAGAGTAGTAGCTAGCTGGGTGTGGTGGCACATTCCTTTAATCCCAGCACTCCAGAGGCAGAGGTGGGTGGAATCTGTGATTCAAGTCCAGCCTGATATACAGACTGAGGTAAAGAATAGCCAAAGTTACACAGAGAAACACACATGCTTCAATTCTCTTTGTTTTGCTGATGTGAAATTATTACCTGAATTTACATGTGTGTGGTTAACCTCCTTAGTTTGGAATTTTCTTTCTAGCACCTTTTGTAGGGCTGGGTTTGTAAAGTTGTCTTTATCATTGAATATCTTGTTTTCTCCATTTGTGGTGACTGAAAGTTTTCTTGGGTATAGTAATCTGGGCTGTCATCTGTGGTCTCTTAGAGTCTGCAGTACCATTTAAAAGTCAGGTGTAATTTTCTAATAGATCTGCCTTTATATGTTATTTGGTCATTTTTACTTGCAGGTTTTAATATTCTTTCTTTGTTCAGTATATTTAGTGTTTTGATTACTACGTAGTGAGGGGATGTTTTTTTCTGGTCCAATCTATCTGGTGTTCTGTATGCTTCATGTACCTTGATAGGCATCTCCTTCTCTAGTTTAGGAAATTTTTCTTCTATGATTTTGTAGAAACTATATTCTTGGATTTTGAGATGGTATTCTCCTTCCTCTCTATTCCTATTATTTGTATGTTTGGTCTTTTAATAGTGTTCCAGATTTCCTGGCTGTTGCATGTCAGGAATTTTTTAGATTTAACATTTCTTTGATCAATGTATCTATCTAGTTTTTCTATTCTATCTTCAATACCTGAGATTCTCTCATCTGTCTCTTGTATTCTGTTGTTGAAGCTTACCACTCTAGTTCCTGTTTGCATTCCTAAATTTTTCACTTATAGGACCCCTCAGTTTGTGTTTTCTTTATTGCTTCTATTTCCATTTTCAGGTCTTGAGCAGTTTTGTTTCCTTCAATTGTTTGTTTTTTGCTTGGCTTTTTTTTTTTTTTTTTTTTTTTTTTTTTGAGGGATTTATTCCTTCCCTCCAATTGTTTGTTTGTTGTATTTTCCTGAATTTCTTCATGGGATTTTTGTTGTTGTTGTTTTTCATTTCCTCTTTTAGGACCTCTGTCATCTCCATATAGTTGGTTTTAAGGTCATTTTCTTTTGTTTCAGCTATGTTGGAATATTCAGGACCTGCTGTGGTAGACTAGCTGAACTATGGTGGTGACATATTGCCCTGGCCATTGTGTTCTTAAACTGGTATCTAGGCATCTGGGTTTGGGGAGACTATGGGTCTAGCTATGATTTCTGGGTTTATCTCCATTGAGTAGGAGTTTTATTCGTTGGTTTCTGTTTCTCTGGATTTTCAGAGATTGTGTTGGCTGGGTGTTCCCTGTTTTACTGACCTGCTCAGCTGATATATTCTTGGGGGATGGGAGGTCTGGAGGAAATGGTCTGAGGGATCCATAGGAAGCATCCACATGGGTGTTCTGTTGCAGCTCTAGGGGCAACCCTGAGAATTGGATCTGTGATAATAGAGAGGACCTGGGCCGCACCTCCTACCCCCTAAACTTTCCTCTGGCTTTGGAGAACAGTGGGCTGCCTACCTGGTCTTCTGGCAGGCATTGCCTATAGTTGTACCATGTTGAGGGCTGGGGCATAACAACGTGGCAGGAAGGGAAGGGCTGATCCTAGGTTTATTAACTCAGTGTCCTGGGAGATATAAACAAAAATTCACTCTGAAAAAAATTGTAAAATGAACTATGATGACTATGGCATAACTTTGTAAAATATACTAAAAGCCATGAATTCTATATTTCACATAAGTGGTATGGTAGATGAATTATAGCTTAAAAAGGCTTTTATATAAAAAGGAGGTGACAACCCAAGGCCTTGGATTTTTTTTTTTTATAAGTAAGTTTTCAGAAAGTAAATGATACTAAAACTATGTAGATACCTGAAGAAAGTCAACCCAATGAACAAGAACCAACCTAAATTATAAATAACATGAAGAACTCAAGGGTTTCTCCCCAGTATTGTTTCAGGCACAGACTCTAAGACAGTGTGCCTATGTTGATGGATGGATTTAACACCAAGTGGGAGCTTCAGGGAGGAACTGAAGGATGATGCTGCAGACTTAGAACAGCATCCTACCACTAACCTTATACTTCTGGTAATGGCAGAAGACCATTCCACTGATCCTGCCTAACTTCTTCATGTTTCTCTTTTCTGGCAGGGTCTCATGTAACTCAGGCTGAGGGTGAGCCTGAACTCCTAATCCTCCTGCCTCTATATCCCAAATGCTAGTATTATAGGCTATACCGCCAGCCCCAGCTTCTGCCTGAGAAATCCTAAAAGTAAGCCCAAAGTATTTGTTTCTAAGTAATTTAACTGTGTTAAGAACAAAGTTCAAGAATGTTTATAAAGTAAAAAACATTTAGCACTCAACAATAAAAGGTTAACAATTTCTGACATCTAATCAGAGGTTACCAGTCAGGAAAATACCGTATTGATAGAGGGAAATAGATTAATTAGAACAAATTGGAATATCATCAGAGGTTAATAAGATGAATACCTGTCAGTGGGAGGTGGAATAAAGTATGATTCATCTACCCTCCCCCAAAACTATGGATCCCATTCTTAATACAGCAAGCCTAGAAACAGGAAGAGGCTTCCATCAGCATCCTAACATTCATAATGCTCTGCCTTTATATGGGGCTCCATTCTCAAGATGTTCAGTGTTCTTTCCCCCAGATTGCCTTCAGTTTCTGGTAATAAGAGTGCCTGATGTATCAATGAATCCCAGAGAATTTACAGTATAACATCCTTCACCATCTTTGCAAAGTTATATATAGTGCTGTGTAGGATAATGCTGTATCTGAGTTGAGTTTGTTTGAACATTACTATTGATTTCTGGGTTTACAGGCAATGAAGACCAGCCAGAGAAGCCTCACTTTGACTGTCGCAGTGTGATATTTGAGCTGGATTCGTGCAATGGTAATGGGAAGGTTTGCCTCGTCTACAAACATGGGAAACCTGGTAAAGATCATTTCCAAAGCATGATCCTACAGTGTGGATGTGGTCTTCCTTGAACTTGCCTGTCAACCATAAGTGAACAAAAACTCTCTGAAATGCTTCCAGGTCTATTCTTTGTGCCAAGACTCAGCCCCTCTGATCCTCTCTGAACATTTCCCACTAGGCTGATTTCTCTATTCCATCGCCTTGTGTGAGTCCCTGTGACCATCAGTGGGACAGATAAGAAAAGTTTCAAGAACTAGTCATTCTGTTCATAAGGCCTTGCATTAGATAAGCCTTCAGGAAATATGTTAGCTTTCCTTTATACTTTTATATGTAAGCCAGTTAAGAGCAATAGAAACATGAATTACTAGACCTCAAGTCCCCACATTCAAAACCAAGAGAAAGCAAGACTAAATGATAGTTACTGAGAGACTGAACACCTAAACAGCAGCACTTCAGGCCTAGGGACTGAATCTAGATCTGAACACAGTTAAGCTCTCTTCTTACCTCTTTCTGGTGGTGTGAGGAGGTATAAACATTAGAAATTACCTCTGGAGAGAAAAGATCATTTCCAGGTAAAGCTGTTGTAGCAAAAGACGTGGAGCTGCATTGAAACAATGATTAGAATTAGATATGAGGGAGGAGAGAAAGAGGCAACCAAACAAAGGGACAAATGGCTAAAAGCCATAATCAAGAAAAAAGTTCAACTGATTTGTGGTAATGACAATTCTCTTTTAATGAACTTAAGTGGTTTGCCTGAGCTCGTCTCATCCAAAGGAGATACAGCCTGAATGCCAGCTGCTTCCTCTCATGCAGATCTTGGAAAGCCAAACAAAAAGGTCTGAACAGCTATAGAAGACTAAAGAGTTGTTCAAGGCTGTTTAGGAGAGTGGCAGGATTCAAATTAAAATGGGCAGGTAGTTTGGAGAAGGAAAAGAGGAAGAGATGCTACAGCTCTCTAGAAAGCTAATGAGACAGGTACAAGATAGGAACTGGTGTAATAGTGCCTGGGTTAGCTGACCTAGGATAGGATGTCATAAGAGCAGGATTGCAGGAGTGAGGTGATATAGACCAGTGGTTCTCATCCTATGGATCACAACCCCTTTGGGAGTCAAATGACCTTTTCACAGAAGTCACCTAAGACCATTGGAAAACACAGATACTTACATTATGATTCATAACAATTCATAACAATTGGGGTCACCACAACATGAGGAACTGTATTAAAGGGTAACAGTGTTTGGAAAGGTGAGAACCACTGGTATAGATTCTTTCACATTGATTTTTGTTGTTGTTTGTCTGTTTTCATAGCACTTCTGATTAGAGACCTCTTTGTAAAAGATTGATCATTCAGAGTTTCTTTCCATCAAAAAAAAAAAAAAAAAAAAAAAAAAAAGAGGGAGTGCTGAGTCCACTCAGAACAGAAGCATTTGCTAAGATATAAGATAGCCTTAATGAAATGCCTCAAGGTCAAAACCAACAGAAAGATCCCTTATGTGATCAATTAGGAATGGGTAAAATCAACCATGCGAGAACAGAACTGGGAGGCTAGAAGGGGAAAGAGTTTCATGTTTTAAAATCTTTCTGCTATAGATTCCTCTTGACTATCAATGTTCATTGACATTTTAGTTAAAAGAGAAAACATATTAAGCTGTCCTTAATCTTCTTGTGCTGTTTAGGATTAGCTCATGACACTGAGATCTGGTTCCTGGACAGAGCATTATACTGGCATTTTCTCACAGATACCTTTACTGCCTATTACCGCCTGCTCATCACCCACTTGGGCCTGCCCCAATGGCAATATGCCTTCACCAGCTATGGCATTAGCCCACAGGCCAAGGTAAGAAGAGAACGCCTGTCATCCCAAAATCTGATGTGTATCAAGAATTTCCTGTGAAAATGTTACATTCCAAATTCCCCCATCTGCAGTAATAGAGGGAACCCATAATTTTAATAAGCAGGACTAGTGATTCCAATGTTGGCTGTTAGCCTCACATGATTTGGATCTAATTAAGTAATCAGGATCAACTGGAATGTTATTTTTAATTAAATGTCACTGCGGGCTTGGGTCCAGAATACAATCACTTAAAAGGATTAACAAGTTTCTAATTCCCCTCTGCTCCCAGTCTACACTCCCATTGGCAGGTACAGGTCAGTATGCATGCCCTCCTTGAGAAACTCATTACATGTAAAGCATAAATGCATTTTGTGTATCTTTGTGCTAACACAAGTGTAGCAATTCTGCACTTTTATCCTCCATTGTAGAGCTCTTTCAGAATCAGTACATAGAGAGATGTCTTCTGTATATTACTGACTAGGCATCGTTTATACAAGCCTGTATTGAAAGCACCAAGTGGGCTAGAACTGTTCACTGGAATGAACTGGTCTGCTCTAAAGAAAAATCATAATGATTCCTTTCAACACTTAATTAGCAAAAAAGCAGGGACTGCATCCCACTGCAGCTTTACTAGGTAGAGCTTCATTCTTCGAACATTTTTCGTAAGAACATCTCCCATGTAATTAATGCTATGAAGTGTTTTGGTCAGACAATGGCACAAAAGGAAAAACAAAAATGTGGCTGCCCTTTTTTCATAGCTTTCTAAGAAACTGCAGGTATAGAGTACCAGCACCACAATTTACCATATGAAAGTTTTGCTCTGACCTCTTATCACACCACTTGGAGGGATGGTGCTACTGGAATATCCATGGTGGGCACCATCTGCTTTGATGGCAAGTAGGAGGACAATGTCCCCTGGTGGGCTCCTAGTTTTTATATAGCATTTATTTTGGTGACCTTGAAAAGCACTGTATGACTGGAGTGTTTGGTTTTTTTAATTTTCATTTTAAACCTTATTTTATGTATAGCAATTTACATGTTAAGTAAGACTACAATAAAATGATAGTTTTCTACCTTAGAAAAGAAAAGCACTGTGTGTGCTTGACCAAGACAAGGCAGTTTTTCATTTAAAAAAAAAAAGGTATAAATTCAGTATTACATCACAAGATGTGTAGACAAGAAATGCTTTAGATTTTATAGTTTTTTGAATTTTGAAATAATCATATTTGCTTTATGAGTTGACATTTTTAAAAAAGTGGATTAGTGATGGCCAGATTGTAATGTCTGTCCTATGTGCCCTGCCCTTGGCCCATTTCTCACTCAAACTCTTCTCACCTCTGCCTTACAGCAATGGTTCAGTATGTACAAACCCATCACCTACAACACCAGTCTACTCACAGAAGAGACCGATTCCTTTGTGAACAAGCTGGACCCCAGCAAAGTGTTCAAGAGCAAGAACAAGATCTTAATCCCAAAAAGAAAGGGCCCGTGCAGCCTGTCAGTGGCCAGAAAGGACCTGGGCCTGTAGCTCCCCCTACCCCTAAACCTTCCTCTGGCTCTGGAAACCCTATCCGAAAATAAGCATCCCATCAGCCTCAGAGCAGTGATATCAACATGCAGATGCCCTGGGGTGGCCCCATCCTCAGACACTTTGTGATTGTAGGCTTTCTCCTGAGGATCAAAGCCTTAGATCAGGAGTTGGGAAGACCATACTGAATTACTCCCAGGAGTCCTTTTCCCCCATAGGTTGTGCCAACTCTGTCTCCAAAACCAGCTAAGACTTTCAGATGTGTTTAGAGGTTTTTCGTTTTGTTTTGTTTTTATGCCTGTACACAGTCCTTAACGTCTTAGCAGCAGTTAGAGGGGTCCTCATCAATAAACCCATGGTACAACTTATGAAACATCAGTCACGTGACCACCTCAGATATGAAAATTTTACACCCTCAGTTACATTAGCCACATTCCAAGAATGCACATGATAGTGGATTCCATATTGGATAATTCCGAGATAGGGAGCATTTCTGTCATAGAAATGTTTTTGGGCAGCATTGCATGCAAACATTTTCATACTGTTAATATATAATGTTGATGCCTTAGCTTTATAGGCTGTATGTTTTGAGAAGATACTTTCAGAGACATAGTCTTGTGTTCTTTACAACCTATACCACAAACACATCTCACTTGAGTCATTTCTTTTTTTAATTCACTATAAAACCCAGTGTTCCTGATCATTTACCTATAAGGAGGTTTGTTTCCAGCTTTGTATTGATAGATCTACATTTGCCAAAACCATCTTTTTAAAAGAGACTGACCCCTGTTGTGTTTTATCTTTATGTTGTGTTTATGCTTTAACAAAGCCCTGGGTATTTATTTGCAGATAAAGCTAGTCTGTTCACAAGAATTTCCAGCTGTTCTGCTTATTCACAGTTGCTCTGTCTCTCCCAACTACCTCTGTTCTAGGCAGTTCTCTGCCTAGAACAGTGTGGGTTGCCAAGAGGTCTTTGTAAGTAAATGTCCTGTAAGTTAGGAAACAAGGTAATATTAGACATTGAGCCACCCCATAAGTTTCTCTTGTGTTAAATATTAGGCATATAACAGAATTTCTGTAAAGAAGTTAGTCTGATTTTCAGTTAAGAATATCTTACTCCTTCCTCTGCAGTCCCGGCAGTGGGCAGGAGTTACCCATCTAGCTCCAGTGTTCTTGATGGCTGCAATTTTTGTACTGATATTTCAGAGGTAGAAGAATAAAGATAAGGGGGACCACATACTCCTTTACCATTGGCTAACTTATTCTTTCTACCAGTGGTTGTCCAGGCTTCTTATTATGCTGCCTCTACTCACTAATCATTCTAGGGCTTCTCTGTTCTATTATGTGATGGGGGCTAGAAGTTCCTAGCGTTCTCTACCTGTATTTCTCCAACTTCACTTTGAATATTTAGGGAAATTTAAAATCCTGTTTTGGGGCAGGAAAGATGGTCAGCAGTTAAGGGCATATACTGCTCATGCAAAGAACCACATTCACTTTCTAGCACCCACATGAAGCAGGTCACAGACACCTGTAACTCCAACTCCAGGGACCCAAAGTGCTCTCTGACCTCCACAGGCACCAAGCAAATACAAAGAATAAATATACTTGAAAAACTTATTTTTTATTGTCATTCACTAGAAAATGATGGTCGGAAAAGGGGTATGGTCTTCAGTCTTTGTCTTAGGATTTTTACTGCTGTGAAGAGACACCAAGATTAGTACAACTCTTATAAGGACAACATTTAATTGAAATGGCTCACTTACAGTCGAAGAGGTTCAGTCCATTATCATTGCGAGGAGCGTGGTGGTGTGTCGGTAGACATGGTGCTGGCTATATCTTGATCAGAAGACGACAAGAAGTGGTTTGTGACACTGGGAGAAGCTTGAGCAAAGGAGATCTCAAATTCTACCCCCACAGTGACACACTTCCTCCAACAAGGCCACATCCTAAGAGTGCCACTCCCTAGGAGCTTATGGGGGCCAATAACATTGGAACTAACACAGCCTTCCACCTCCTATCACTTCCATAGTGTCAGGAAATCTAAGAAGAATTAAGGCAGACTCTGGCTGGCTGCATCCACATTTTTTTTTAAAAAATAATTCAGATACTGAAATATGAGTGTTCCATGTTAGTGTTCCGTTGTTTCAAATCATGTTTCAAGATGTGATCTGTCTGTATAACCCAGGCTGTCCTTAACTTTGCAGTTGTTCTGCCTCTGTTTTCCCAGTGCTGCAATCGGGGCATGCACCACCATGCCTGTCCACCTCTAATGAAAATGTTTAAAACAGTATCACTCATCTCCTGCAGCTTCAAAACCAACCATAGAATATTCAGTGCGGCGAAAGGAAGAAAGAAAGGAAGGAAGGAAGAAGAGAGAAAAGTCTATGTGTAACTTTAATGATTCTGTGACTGTCATATTATCCCTAATTTAGGAGATAATTTGAACCTTTTAAAAAATTATATTTTATTGCACTTGGAGCACTTAAAAATGTGTAACAATTCCCAAGGAAATACAACAGTACCAGACCATCATTTGCTTCTGTGTTAAGGGTAGAAGCAAACACGTTATTTCAGTGTAGTAGGTATCATTCATTTAGTATTTGTGGAGCCTTTGAATACTTGAATTTGATTCCAGTTGTATGGCACAAATGAAGCAGCAGAGGAGCCAAAGGAGAGGGGGCACACCCGAATCTTCTCATGTGCGCACTCCTTTGTCTCCCCACACTTCCCTTAAAGAACACACAAGGTCAGATTAAACAGAGCAGTAATTCAGATGTGAAAACCTGTACAAGTGACCCTGTACGAATGCATAAACAATTCACTCAGGGAACTGGCTCTTCTAAAAGAAAAAAGGGTACTTGTAGCAAAGTCTTAACATGAAAACTGACTTGAGTTAAATGGGCAAAAACACTCATGAGGCTGATATTTTTAAAAATGCAGTTAAGCCAAGTGGTGGTGGCACATACCTTTAATCCCAGCACTCAAGAGACAGAGACAAGCAGATCTTGGAGTTCAAGGCCAGCCTGGTCTACCAACTGAGTTCCAAGATAACCAAGGCTGTTACACAGAGAAAGCCTGTCTCAAAATACCACCACCACATACAAATAAATAATAAAAAGAAATAGACAAAACCCTATTTACAAAAAAAAAAAAAAAGGTAGTTAAAATGTTAGTATGCTGTACAAGAAACTTAACTGCCTGGGAAAGGGCACTGTACTAGAGTTAGAAAATGAGAACAGAACAGAACACCCCATGATGTACTGATGTAGTTAGTACCATGCACAAAGTGTCACATCCTCCTGCACATACGGAGGTAGCCAGGCCAAAAACAGGATGAAAGGGTCCAGCTAACATGTAGCCAACAACCTACAGAATCTCGTGCTTAAAGCTGTGATCTCTAGACTTAGAAATGTGTACCAGCCAGGTATTGGTGGTGCACACCTTTAATCTCAGCACTTGGGAGGCAGAGGCAGGCATATCTCTGTGAGTTCGAAGCCAGCCTGGTTTATAGAGCTAGTTCCAGGACATGCTCCAAAGCAATGCAGAGAAACCCTATCTCAAAAAAGCAACAAAAGAAAAGAAAAAGAGAAAGAAAAGAAAGAAAGAAAGAAAGAAAGAAAGAAAGAAAGAAAGAAAGAAAGAGAAATGTGCACCAAAGTCACTGGTATCACATGGAAAATAACATCCTTGGATCCCACTTCAGATCTACAAAATCAGAATTGCCAAAAAAATATTCCAGATATCAGGATTTTCTTCCCTTCTTCTCTTTCTGTTTTCTTTCTTCTTCTCCTCCTCCTCCTCCTTTTTCTTTTTAAGACAAAGCTGACCTATAGCTATGTAGTCTGCCATTCTACACATACAGACACATCCTGCCACTGATGTTCTTATTACAGATGTACGCCACTGTGCCCAGTGTGGAATTTTTTTTAAATCAATTTGATAGTAATATTGAGTCTGAAACTTTCTGGCTAAGGTCTGATTGGTTTGGTTTTAATTTTATGAAAAATAAATTTTTTTGTAACCCAGTAAAGCTTGTATAATAATGGGAATAGACTAATCACAGTTTGTCTTTGTTGTTCGTTTTTTTTTCCCATGATGTATTTTCCTAAGGTGCTGTATTGGAGACTATTAAACATTTACAGATATAAATACCATAGTATAAATAATCTGCTATGTCTATCACAGCTTCAATAGATACCATCTCTTGGCTGATGTTTTAACTATATTCCTACTTCTCCAATTTTATCTTTTAAATAATTGCAACCTATTAGTTTTTTAAGCCATTGCTTTGGTGGTTATAATGAATGTTACTTTCTCTGTTCAGTACAGTAGTTCACACAGGGTCCCTGGTCACATTATTTGTACAGTGTAATTCTGACCCTTCATTACAGCTGAATGGACGACAGGCAGGTAGCAAACCATGTTGGCCGTGCCCTTACCTTTGGAATATGTTGATAAATTTTTTTTGGCTTCAGTCAATACCACGAGACCTGGTTTCCCAGCTGTAATGGTTATCTTACTTTGTGCCATAACCAAAAGCAACATATAAAAGAAAGTTCCAAAGGGAGACTCCATAATGGCAGGAGAGGCATTGCTGCAGGTGGGCTGCACAGGAAACTGAGAGCATATCTTTAACTACCTACAAACATGATGCAGAGAGAACTGGAAGCAAAACAAGGCTATGTAGTATAACTGTCTGAGCCCACGCCCTCCCTCCAGCAAGGCCTCACTTCCTAAATGGTCTGTGGCCTCCCCAAACAGCACCACCAATCAGGGACCCAGTATTCCAATATTTGAGCCAGTGGAGAACACCAGCCAAGTAATTTCCTTATAAACCCACATAGCTTCCATTATGAACTGTGACTGCTAAATGAGTTAGTGCACAGTTAGCGCTCAGAAGAAGCAGTTGCTGCTTTTCCTATTCTTTATAATGTGACCCCACTGTATCTAGCTCTTAACTTGCTTCAAGCAGCTCTAGCAGCTGTCCTCTCCTAAGCCATTCACTCTTTGTTTCTAAGACATCAGTATGGCTCTCTCCTATGCCTTTATACCTGTAGATTCATCTCCGGTGTGCCTCTAGCCAGAGCTCCATGAAGCCACAGCTCACTGAAGGAGAGTATCAGTCAATGAACTTTGGGTCATCTTACCTCATCTCTGTGGTTCCAGTGGATTTTGAGAAGGGGTGGGGGGGTTGTGGTATTTTGGAAAGCCATCCTAATCATGGAGTCCCATGAACTATTAATATATAAATTTTAAAGTTGGCTATACATAATTTTGCATTAAGTCAAATGTGTCATATTTTAGGACAACTAAGAATGAGGAAAAGCTATGAAAATGCCTAACTTTAAAAATTGAGGAGACAGTAACCACCTTATTTTAGAGTCTGAATACCCTTACTTCAGCTTATGGACTATGTCAGAAAATCCTGCCATAATGAAATACACTACACATGAAGCCATGAGTGTCCCTGGTCTTTTCTGCACCACATATTTTGTACCCAGAAGCCTAGCTGACTGGGTATACCACCAACAGCTATCTTGATAAGGCTCTAAAAGAACCAAAAAAGTAAATTATGAGACATGCTGGGATGTGCCACATCTTATCCTGTGTCTAGGAAACGTTCTTCAACATCATTGATGCTCCATTTCTTCAGATGTAAGATGGAAATTGATGGACGGGCTGTAAAACTCTATTAAATAATGCAAATTGAGTACTCA